GGTAACAGTCACTGGAATAATTTTCCAAGAGCTGCAGTGGGATTTCCCAGAAGTTGAGATCTCTTGTTCCTAAAAGGGCTCTGCTTCAAACACAAATTAACTAAGGGAAGTCCTAACAGTCCTGTTACCCAAGAGGTCAAGCGAGATGGTCATAATAGTCTCTTCTGGCCTTGTAACCTATAAATAGATTAGAGTCCCAGTGGAAAAAAAAATTATCCTTATCTCGGGCTTTCCCAAAACACTGTGAAAAAACAATAGGAATGCAGAAAGATCAGAAATTGTTGCTTTGCAACAGTTGTGCCTAGTTCAGTATTTCTACTGAAGAGACCAAAACATTTTTGATCTCATTCCAGAATGTCTTTTAAGCTCTTCCTTCTGGTTGCCCGAGCTCAGCCATACCCAATACACCCATTTTCAGAGCTGTTAACTAATAAATGTTTGATAATTATAACAAAGGTTGGGTTTGAAGTCTGTGAGAGTTTTTCCATTCACTGTTAATGGGTGGATCAAACCAGAGTATCTTCTCAATTTAAGGACACACCTCAAATTCTCCATCCAATGTGAAGTGAAACTCAGGGGAATTATGCCACACACACACACAACTGCTGAGTCTGCCTGAAAGAACAGACGTTTCTTACATACCGTGTCAAATAATACTGTTATATTTAGGCAACATTTGAAAATAATTTTACCTCCACGAAGTGAATCATTCAATAGCCACAAGTACAAATGCCGTACCAGCAACAGCCACAAATTTATCCCATGGAACTGTGCTGCCTTTATTGTTCCTTGCAAAAAGAGAGTACTTCACACAGCTTGTATCCTCTTGAAAACTTCTTGGTTAGAAGAAAATAACAAGTCCTGTCTTTGAGTTTCTGGGAGTGTTCTGCATGTATGAAGCAAGGGACATGGGAGCGCTGATTTGTTTGACAGTTGACTTCAAAAATACAGTGAAACAGCGTTTAGATTATATCAGCCCCCTCTTCTACTTACTCCCTGAGATAATTTTTTATAATTCATCATCATAAGTGAAACCCTCAAAGTATATAAAATACTCTGAAATGAACAAAACAATGCAAAAAGTCTAAATAGTCGGAGCCTTATGGTCAGAGGACTAAAGTCACAAAAGTGCTGTGACTATTCCAGCTGTACCAGCACCTTTTACCTTGGACTTGCTGTCCATCATTTCTGTGAGTATAGCAGAGCAGGGTTTAATGTGCTCTTTCATCAGTGGGAATTTGAAGTCATGGCATTCACAATCCAGTGGGAAAGTAGGAGACCCAAGATCCTACCCAGTCTTTGGTTTGGAGGAGGGATATGAAGCAAAGTGGTTTCTGTCATGTCTACTTCTCATGAGTGTGTGCTAACAAGCAGGCTATGGGGTTTTCTGAAACGGAGGTTTCCTCGCTCACTCCTGAAGTTTTTGTGCTTTGGTGTTTTTTTAATATTTGAATAATACTTTAATTCTAAACCACAAAGAGAAACTACTCTCAAGCCTGCTGGCCAGGACAACTACCTGGGAGGTATGACACTTGGGCCTCTGCTCCAAAAAGCATTTAAATATTTCCTTAAAATAAAGATGAATGTTGCCAACAGACATGCACAGAATATCCTTCTAGCATGAGTACTTGCAGCTCATTCTTAGGAGAACAAAATGATATTTAAAGTCTTCCCAGCCGAAGACGACCTGGAACAGGAGTGTCTTGCATTTCATGTGAATGCCTGAAGCACTGAGAATTAGGATGAAATGGGAACTGCTAGAATAGGAGAAGCAACATAACGGTCAGATTTGTGAATCTAGCTCAGAAAAAAACAACATTGGAGAGAGGGTTCCTCCCAAAGAAAACAATGTTTTAATATAAAATCCACAAATAGTTTTGAATCAGCCATTCTGGCCTTTTCAGTATTTTGAAAGAACTGTCTGGTTGCAAACAAGAGTCTCCCAGGCTTAAGGAAGCAGGAACTTCTACTGTGGGCACAGGCTCACTCTCCCACTACTGTCCTCACGAATCCAGTGACAATACTTCCACTAATCTTACAAGAAGCACAGTCAGGGCCTTGGGACAAACTGTAAAAGTCCTGTTAGAACCGCTGAGCATCAAAGAGTTTAGCTAATCAATACGGAACCAGTAGTGATTATTGAAGATAGACTTCTGAAGACTTCCAAATACACATACATACATATCTTTCAGAGAAAAAAAGTGTTTGCACTTCAGAAATATGGTTCAGATTAGATCCATATTTCCATAGGCTGAATATAATTTTCCTGAAAACAAAGGCAAAGGAGAAAAGGAAATGCACTGATCCCTGAGCACATTCTTTTCCTGTCAGAGGTATAAAAAGGCCCATGTTTTCAAATAAAAACCATAATCATCATTTAAGACTGCTCCATTAAAAAACCAAACACTTTTTGAACAGACTTCTGTTACAAACCTGTTCAAAGGACTATAATACTGGGCAGTCCTAGCAAAATGAGATAATGTTCATGTATCATGATACAAATATTCTAGGAATAATCAAAACATGAAAGGTTCATATAGGCACCTTCTGTATGAAACTAGAATGATCTGTGAGAATCGCAACTCCCATATTTTCCTCTCTTCTACAATCATGCTTCAATACAGTCAATAGATTTTTTGCTGGTAGTACCAATGGAAACTGGACTGGGCAATGACAGTTTAGCACAGTGTGATGTACTACCATGATACCACATACCCATAAACATGTCACTCCATTTGTTCACCCAACCGTTGGCCCTCAGTATGGTATCAGATATGATTTCTGTTGTCTTTCAGCTGGGAAAACACATCTGAATGTGTCAAACGCCCTTCCAATGCTAGCACAGAATATACACTGACTCAGACTGGTTTCCTCATGAAACTGGTGCTTGCGTAGACATCTATAGTTTTGCGATTCTGGACAGGATGGGTCACAGGCTACTCATCAACAGAACCAGGACATTCTAATTACATTTAATTCTACCTTTAATTTTAAATCAGAACCTTTCAGGTACAAAATGAGACAGCAAAAATATGTGCTTTAAAAACCTGCCCCACAGAACCGCAGGATTTTGATGTGTAAAGAGTTTAAAACTGCCCCAAACATTTAGGAAGAAAAATCCAACAGAACAGTCTATTTAAGAAAATCTTAATTTTTATTACTTTCTAGTAGTCATTTTCTCATGTGTTTGTTTCAATTCTAAACCAGCTATACAATTTACCCTATAGGTTTCTTCCTTGTAGAAAAAGAAAAAAAGTCAATGAAAAATCTTGGGGAAAAAAAGCTTGAGAAGGTATCATCATTCTAAATAGGCTGTATAGTTATTGCTTAATTAAGCTAACGAAATGCTCAGGGTTGGAGCAATGGTGGCTGCAAGTTTACACTTGGCATTTCCTTTCTGGTTTTGTTCTTTCTGCAGAAGACATGCCCCCTTGTGGGGAGAAGTTCAAGCCCATCAGCCACTGGTCTCCCTTGACAAGTTTGGGTATCAGGCAAAATAAACAGTTCTCAGAAACCAGCTTTTTGCTTCTGAATTTCTCACTTTTCAGTCCCCCCTTAAATGCATGATGCTTGGCATACCTCACATAGATCTCTTCTGTGGGTTGTGGGGAGGATGAAGAAAAGCAGCAAGCCATAAGACTCCTGAAGAGATGATACTAGATGATTAACACAGTAAGAATAGGGGGGAACTGGTTCCTTCAGCAGTGTCAAATAGTTTTAGCACCTTCATGAAACTGAGGAAAACTGCCCTAAAGAAAGCACTGCATAAAAGTTTGCTCATGACAAGAATAAGAGGACACAATTCTCTGGATCTAAATGAGCATCCTATGAACTAAAAGCATCATCACTGTAGAGATCTCTGCACTGAACTCCTTACTGGCAGGCTCTTAACCCTTACCTTAACTATGGTAACACTGAAATAGTTCTGAAAATATTTTCAGGCTCTTAAAATCCTTTCTCTCATTTTTTGTAATGTTGATCTGGCCATTACAACCACAATGTAGCTACCTGTATGTTGTCCTTGCCCATACCTTGAATGAATTTTGTTATTTATTAAAACTGGTCACTTCAAAATGCCAAAAAATTTAAGTGATGTGGATTGTAAACATCCACTTACCATTATTACCATGACAACAGATCTTCAAGTAATGTAACAACTCCACTGGAGTTATGAAAACAGAGACTATCAAATTGCATTCAGTGTGAACACAGGGTGAGGAATAACAAACAATATGATACCTCATGACTATTAAACACAGGGTGATAGTCTTCTTCCTCCCTTCAATATTGAAAGCATATTAATTTTCACATACAAGACATAAGCGAACGAACTCTCCAAAACAGATAATAGGCTGATGAAACAAAGAAATGATCTTTCATTAGAAGTACAAGATAAAAACCAAGCACATTAAAGCACAGAGTCTGGTAGAGTGACAGGAGGCTACTACACTCTGCTATGTAAAGAGAGGACAGAGAAAGGGCACCCAAAGTGCAACATAACAAGGCAGGAAGGAAGATGGCAAAGAAAAAGAAGGGAGGAAGTCTGTGCTAACAATGCTTCTATCTGAGATACTAGCATAAGACAAAATAAACACCATGTTTTCTAGATTCACATAACATGTTACTCTCTCCTGCAGCAGGTTCCTTCTGTGTCAAAGCATAAGAACCTCAAGATCCTCTCTTAGAAAACTGTTAATCACTTCAGGGAGAAGGGGTTATTCTACACTGGTTTGTTCCTTATACCTCAGTACACACCAAAGTCACTTTTCATATCACTACGGATACATCTGTCTGCTTTGTTGCTCTAGACATAAACAAACTGAAATTGGAATATGCAGTAACCTGTCTTCTGGGTGCTGACCCTCAAGGCAGACTACAGGGATACTCTCTCCACTTTCACTTGTGTAGACTCTTCATCTGACTTCTCTTGAAATGAGAAACTACGGAGCACATCAAATAAAACTTGAAACATGAGCTAGCCAGCTTGGGACAATTAACAGGCTTCTGACTTAGCTACTCCTATTTCCTTTCAGTTCCACCTAAGAAGATTCAGCATTTCAAATACCTGAGAACTGTAAAGCATTGAAATGTTCATCACTGTTTCAGCCGACAAAATAAAAACTTTAAAGTCAGTTGTTTGGAAGGGTTCCATCCTCTACTGTTTTGTTCAAGTGTTACATAACAAATTGTACACAAACTACATTAGCTTTGTGTTAGAAATAAATTTGGGTAGAATCTCAAGCCTTCCACTGAATCATCTCTGCAAAGATGGCCCATCTTTTCAGCAAGAAGCAGCCTAGAGAAAGCAAAAGAAGACGTGCTGTATTACTTGAGGACAACATGATAATGAAGGTATTAAACACAGCAGTTATTACTTACCTTTCTTTGGCTAAGAGAACAGACATCCCCACCAGCTTAGCAAACTCATCAGCTGTGAGAGAACCCTTTTCAGATACCTGTCAAAAACCAAACACACAAATAAACAAACTAGGGCATTAAAAGAACAATAAAGTTATCTCAGCTACTGAATCAGGTCTAGCTTTGTGAAGTGAAAAATTGGTAGCAAACCCCTTGTGAAGACAACCAGTTTGCATTTTAAAAAAGTACAAGTAATTATGAGTATTTCCCTTAAAAATACCTCTTTTGTGTCCTAGGAAAACTGCTAAGTATAAAAAAGGAATGTAGAAAAGAGTTAAATCTATTTAAAAAAATCACATGGTACCCTCTCCTTTGGATTTTTTTAAAGCCTTGGGACAAAATGAGCAGAAAAATTAGAATAGCTCAGACAGCATATACTGTCACAATCAGTATTTACACAGCCCAACTATAAGAAGTGATTCTGCAAACAGTGAAGCCTAAATGAGGGAATAAAAGACCAGTTCAGGGCATCAATTTAGAAATCTAAGTCATCTCAGATGGAAGTGGAGAATTTGAGTTTAATAGTATTTAAAATATCCCACTGCCTATAGAAAAATCCCCAAACCTTAGTACTCCACCCTATATTACAGCATACGACAGGGATTAGTAAAAGTCACCATCACATTTAGTTGACACAAAAAATAGGTTCAGTCTTGGGACTCAAAACTTTGGCTCCATTGTCTCAACCATGCTAGTTAATACATGCCAAAACGAAACCTTCTCACCCAGGTTGGACAAGTGGATGCTTAAAATATTAGATATGAAGTCTGGATTTATTACTGCATTGAATTTCACAGATAAACATGTTTTACTACCCTACAGATTACTAATTCTGCCATTTCTCCATTGCTTCAGCTTCAAGCAAACTTGTAAATCTAGAGGTAGTTGCCATTTCCTGCTTCCCACATAACCAGGCAGGGAGGAGTCTATTCTGCGTCATTCTCAGCAGTATTCTTTTTACAGAAACTCCGATTAAATCAGTCCTAACTTGAGATTTTATGAAGCTAAGTGATCCAATCTGTGTAATGGAAGTCAGCTATACAGTCTAATACGCATATGTGTGATTGTCTTTCTTTCTCAAACCACTACTCTCATCAAGGGTGACTTTGGGTTCCTTTGACTTCCATGTCACTTCCTGTCTTCACCAGCCACTCAAAACTGCATCTCTCTCCTGTCTGAAACCCTTTGACTTCCTTTCGCTTCTTCTCAGAAGTTTCATGTCACTGTACATTAAGTACAGGCCACAAGACTGATCTCATCTTCCCTTTCCCTTACGGGCTAGCCTTCCTCATTCAAAGCCTCTCCCTTACATTTTTCTATGGAGCCAAAGTCTCATATTATGAAAATAAAATTAAAAAGGCACTTCAGTAATAAATCCACCATCTGTTGCTCTTTGCAGTTGACCTCATTTGTCATCAAGAAAAAGTTTTTCCTTTCCTTTCAAAGAGATAAGCACTCTTACTGAAGGCAACAAATTAATTAGAAACCAAAAATAATCAGAAAAATACTAAAATGGACTAGGTATTCTTCTGTAAATAGGAGAAAATAAACTGAATGGATTAACATATATTGAAAGATTTAAGCGTTTTAGTTTTGATAATTTAGGATGGAATCTTTTAGATGGCTATATAAATTTCTCTTATCTAAAAATCTTTTTGATGAGAGAAAGCTATATGGTAACAATCATGCAAAACACACTGACGAGTCTACTTTGTATCAAGTGAGAAGGTGAGTATGATAGGTCTACTTTTTCTTGACTGCCCAAGTCAAATTCCTTCTTACCTTCGATGTTTAATTTTGGATACACTGAATCAGCCTTTACTCAACTTTATGAAAAACAAAAAATAACATGCCACTGAAAAAGACACAGGAAAATGCATCAAATAATGGGACAGCAGGACTTTAAAGAGTCCAGAGGTAGCAAGACCACGAAGGTTTACCACACCAAACAATTTATACTATGTTTTTCCTGATGAAGCTACCTAATTCTACATGCAGTACTCCCCAAATGTGCGCTCTTCACAGCAGCAAACTCAATGTTACATGTACAATGTGCTATTTTATGAAATAAACCCAAACCAAACAACTGCCTATATCAACATTTAAGAGCTACTTTGACTGCCTTCAAGCATATCGTGTACAGTGTCTGAAGTCCACTTCTGTTACATTAAATGCTTAATATATGTCATGAATTTCATTACACAGGACAAAAGATCTGGAGGAAGGCTGAAGGTTAATGAAGTTTGAAAAGAGATGGAAAAGTGTTTTATTCCTTAAGGAGAAAGCAATGACTAAGATTATTGCCTGCACAGCACTTTGAAGATTAATAGTGCTATTTAAGTATTACTGTTAGAAGATTTGGAAGTGGAATATTTTGTATTTCAAAACCTCAAAAGGAAATCCTGTACCTCAAGTTTTCATACCTAATGTGTTTAAGTTTCCCCAGCACGGTCAGAACACTGAAGGAAATGAAGTACACTTACTGTCTCTAAAGCAGAAGCTACCATTTCCTCTTCGTTATGAGACTGGAGTTCAATCACCATCACACCACTGTCAAATATCCGAAGCCTAAAATCAAAAGAGAGAGTCAAAGTAACTAAAACCCCTGTGCACATCACCTACGGTCACATTTCTAATGCATCCACACCTATAACCCCATTATAAAAGGAAAAAAAAACCACAACCTCTGTAAAATGAACTTAACATTGAAAACATCTTCCAAAACTTTAGAGACTGAAAAGACCAAGGCATGTGTCTGGACTTAGTTAAACACTGTTCCCAGTCTGAAAAAACTGTATTGGAAGTGAAAAGAATAATGTCTTCCTAGTAAAGTGAACCATGGTTAAAAATTAATATTTTAATGTAGAGTGGATATTGGTGCATACAGCAGCATCCCTTAAGCAAAGGATGGCTTTAAAAAAAAAAAATCTACTGCAGGCAAAATATTGAGTCACCCAAGCACTGTGGTCTGACTTGTGAGTGCCATGTTTTATAAATACATCTGTAAAGCTCTTACCTTAGTGGTAATTTCAGCAACTCCAGCATCTTACAAGCATTTACTAAATCCTCTGGCGACAGCAACTATTAAAATAGTAAACCATATTTATTCACAGCTTGCATTTCAAGTATAGAGCATAACACCAAAACAAGCAGTTTTAATAACTACAGCTATAAAATACACCAGGCTACACTATATTGTTAATTTTATTCCTTTCTATTGTGCAGTTTATTTTCTTGGCTCCTGTTCTCCTTTCTGTTCTTACTATGTGTTCTATAACAACCTTTCTTGCCCTAGTTACAGAAAGAAACCGTGTATTTTGTAAAAAAAACCCACAGTCACCATTCTTTAGTATTCTCTGTCCTTTCAGTTTTCTTTCCCAATAAGCATGGATTTTCCCTTTTATATGGTTTTATAAAAAGCAGCATATATTATGACAACTTATAGAGGATACATAAGCATTACATGGAAGAAGGAGAAAGGAAAAAGGTAAAACCCCCTAATTTTAATAAAGGGTTGATCATTTCATGCTGTTAGACAGGTAGAGTGAGCAATTGGTAGGGAACATTTTTACCCTTTTCTTTAATTACCTTATCACTGAAATACATTTTATAAAATATTTAATAAAACCAATTTCTCACCTCTAATCCTCGTGCGCGATTTACCAGACAGTACACTTCAGTAAGTGACACGATCCCTCCTCGCTCCTGTGTTAAGCACAACACTGGTAAGAGAAATAGCATTAATCTAGTAAACACAGTATCTCAACTTGCATTTGACCGATTAAACAGGTAAAACAGACGGGGTAAATTAAGGGCCTTAATGAAAAAAAGACCACCCAGGCAATACCATGTACTTCTAGCATGAGAGGTAGGTTGTTACATTATATCTTTATCCAATAATTTTAAAATGCAAAACACTGATACTATATCCAAAGACTATGAATCACAGGATCAACGAATTTCAATATATTAAATGTAACGACCAATTTACCATTTTTAGTTTTCAGACACACTTAGTCTTCCATTCCGCTCGTAGTAGGTATTATATAGCTTTCACAACAATACTGTAATATGTATGCTTTTTAGTAGACACATGGCCTTATAAGTTGCAACATGAAATCTAACTCTTTGGTGAGAATCCCGAATGCTATAATAGCTTCAGAGAAATTAAAACATGACATACTACTTCGGGCGGGAGGGGGTATTCTGTGTAATAACTCTGTGTTATCTTTGCAAAAACCATAATTTTTAAGCAGTTTTAAGACTGAATAATATTTTCAAACTCAGTGCTGTTTCACTCTTTCTTTAGAAAAGTAACATTCTGCAGCAAGGGATGAATACAAGGCAGTTCAAATAAAAGAAAGACTGCTAGTATGATTTTCTAAATATCACTGATATTTCACAAATTAGAAGTTGAGATGCCATTATTCCAAAGAAAAGTTCGTACTTGTATTTAAACTTTCTTGTTCAGAAAGAGGATACGTATTTCTTCCATAAACATTGAATATGAGGCTGTGCTGCTAAATCTGAGACTTTAAAAAGAGGTGCAGTACTACAGCCAAAACACATTTACATCAAAATTAAGCAACACATGGAAAATGCTTGTGCAAAATTAGGTACTGTACCTCTAATGGTGTCTGCAGGATTCCAGCTAGTTGCTTCGCCAGCTGCATGTGGTAATGTGTACCAGATCCATGTGTTTCCCTAGTAACTGGATTAGCTATTCCCATACTCAGTAGGTAGGACTTGAACCTAATAGTCTAAACAAATAAATACACAAATTTAAAAGTACATCAGCTAGTGAATGATTCTGGTTTTTAAAAGTCTTTGATTTAATTCCTATATGATAGTTTTGGTGAATAAATCAATTCAGTTTACTACCAATAAAGTCAATTACTAGCAAAGAGAAGGCAAGATTTAATATAATTGATTTTTGATCAGCAGAGGTCAAAAATACAAAAATTTATACAAAAGCAGTAAAATCTTTGATTTTAAGACAGGGTCAAAAGAAAAGCTAGCACTAAACAACTAAGTCACTTTTGCTTTATGTAGAATTAAAACACAAAAAAAACCAACCATGAAGTGTTCTTTATTAACATTACACATATAAAACAGATAGCTTTTTGCTTTACATAGGAACATTTCTGTTGACTTTAAAAACAAAATTAATTTACCTCATCCTCAGTGATGTCACCTTGTTTTTCTTTAATCTTATTAGCTATTGACTTGGACAACTCCACCATTTCCTTAGCCTATCAAAAAAGACACATAGATCTAAGTCAACTTTCAGCTCAACAGAGAAAAGCATGCTTAAAGCTGAGAAAACAAGCATTAGTCTGCTTGGATAAGGGACACATGCCGTACCTTCTCCATTAGTTTGCTAAGGTCCTCAAAAGCCTGAAACGAAAAGCAGACACTGCAGATCAGTATAATTACAGCATTCAGCTTCATGGATACAGTGAGCTGCCTTTGCCCACCTACCTAAGCTACTGGTAAGAGCTGCTATCCCTTTAGGTTAGTATGTTACAATGTGAGATATTATATAATTGGTTGATATATCTTTTTTATATCAGGCCTTCAAATAAAAATGATACAATCTATAAACAACAAAGAATGAAGAAAAGAATCAATCACACATGTTTCTGGTATGTGAACACTAGTTCAATATGATTTATGAAGTCCATATGATAGGAAGAACAGTGAGACAGTGAGGCCCAGAAAATTAAACTGTCCAAGTTTATCATGCTGTCCTAAAATTTGGGGGAAGGTTTCTTGGTGGTGATGGTAGGTTTTCTTCCAACAGTTAACCCTCACTCAAGGAGATCTATTGTTTCTGGCCAGCAGCAAGCCAGCTGTAAAGCTACAGAAGTACTCCTCCTAACAAGACAATTTTACTTTAATCAGTAAATGTTACTAAGTTAGTAAGAAACAGTAATTTCAAATGAGCAAGGAAGAAAGTATATAGTTTCACATGTATGCTTAACTGAAGAGACAAAATCTTTGAAAACGTGTGACTTTTAAGTATTGCATACACAGGACCAGTGGTGCTACTGTAATAAACAAAAAACAGTTAAAAAATGAATGAAATAAGGTTCATGAGACAAATTATCAGATTTAAATAATTAACATAAAAACTAGATAAAAAGTATCCTCTGAAAACTAGTTGTTGGACCTAAAAAACAAAATACCTGCTAGAGCAAGGGAAAAATTATTTGTACAGAACAATATTTTCCTAGTCTAAGAAAATTTTTGTTTTCACAAAAAATGTGCAACAACCTGGACATCCAACATAGGACCACAATTATTTCAAGTCCACTAAGCTTAGTAAACTGCTATGGTCTCAAATTCAACAATTCTACAACAACCCACAAAGGGCATTTTAAGGCTTAAATAAAATGTACTTTAAAAAAAAGCTGAAGGTATACTGAAAATCAAAAGTTTTAGTAATGGTAACCAACTAGCATTAAAAAAATAATGTAATAAAAAAGTTAGCAACTATGTTAAAAAACAACTATGTTAAAAAGCAACTCTCATTTCTCCCGTTTTCAGAAACACACATTCAGCCTTCTCACCCGCTTCTCAAATACATGATAACGTGCCCAGGTGGTCAACCTTTCCAAACAACCTTTTTTGAACAACTGGTGTGAGAAAAATTCCTAAACCTTTTCAGCCAAAGTTTGCCTGACAGCAGCACCCAACCCCTCCAGCCACAAATAAAGAAGGTTGTTCAGTTAGAGTATGTCAAACAACCACAGATACCTCTTGCCTACAGCTTCTAACCATTGCTTCTCTGTGATTCCTAGCTTATTCTGACTAATCCCCCACTACACAGACACATTTTAGCAGAAGTTGTGTAGGAAGACCCCACTGTTTCCACCTACATTTTAGGCACCTTATTTAGAAGCTTACTGGTCTGAGATTCAACATGCAAAGAAGAGAAAGAGATGCCTCCAGGAAGGGACAGGGTTCGCTTTTCATCTGAATCCCTCCTAATGGTGACAGTGTTTCTCCATTGACTCCAGAAGCCTAGTCTCTTGGTACCCAAGTTAGGTATCCAAAATTAAGGGGGACAAAGCTGTGGCCAAGGGGAGAAAAGAAAATATACCACCATGTAACAATAAACTACCACTACCAGAATGAAAGCTTCTCTTTGGAATATTTCTTCTTACTTCCTAATCTGCCAAATTCAATAATTTACAATAGATTTCCCAATCTCTAGTGTAAATCAAAGTCCTTCTACTGTACTTGTATATGGTATCAATAAAAAGTTTTCTAACAAGCCTTTTGCCAGCTTATTTCTAATCTCTATAACCTGCATGAAAACATCTTTCATCAAAAGAACCCTTGATTTAGCTATGGCTAAATAAACAGCATGCTATGTCTAACTCCTCCTCTGCCTGACTCACTGAGGGCAGGCCTGGAAACAAAGGGGAATGTGCACACACCTAACAGGAACTTCCTCAGATAAACAAAAGGCTAAAGAACTGGATTCTTATCAGCAGTGAACAGCAGATGCAGGAAGCCTTTTCCTGGAAGCCAGGGCACCATTTTTTAAATTAAGTCATTTATAACATTTAAAGCTGGAGGAAGGCAGGATTTTACAAGTCATGGTTTTCCTCCGTTCATACAACACGTATAAATGGATTTCTTTTACTCTCTGACAAAGCTACTAAAGGAAAAAATAACCAGACAATACCTTTTGAACTATATACACACGCATGTAACTACAATACCTTTTGAACTACACACAGAACTTCATTCATTACATTCTTCATAATCAGAGAAGAAAAAGTTTAACACTAGCAGTATCTGAAACAGCATGTGGCCTGCAAAGGTACTGTATTTTTCTTACGTATGGGAGCAGTGAATGCCTTTTTTTATTGTGGCACACTGAATCCCATAAAGCTTTGCCACAAGAACAAATATTTTGCATGTAGTTTTATGAGTAATTCTGTATTAATCTCTACTACCAAGACAGAACAGGACTATTTTGGACGATATTGCTTCCAGGTATATATAAAGAAATTATTTGCCTCTGCTGTCCATCAGTATTGATATCTGCAATTCAACTACTGTGCTGTTTCTGGGGAAAGGGATGGTCTCTATCTAGCCCAGGTATTTTGCAAAGATTCTTGTAACATCTTGCTTATGTAACATCTGCCTGGACTGCAGAACATTCTACTATAATTATAAGCCTAAATCTAGTGTTAAAAAGATGAGTATTTATAAGATGAAAACCTAACCTCAACACAGTTTTGTGCAGACACTTGGATCAGCATATTTTTTCTTAATATATATTAAATTTTCAACTGAAACAAAAATTAGCTGTAAAAAAAGGACGGAAAAAATCCCCAAACTTGTAATAATCTTCTTCTGCAGATGCCTTTGTGTTTTGCTTCCCTAGTGAAAAGTCACTGAACACAGATTTCTCATTCTACCAAGATTAATTTTATAAATACACACGGTTAGATTCAAAGAACAGTCTTCTTGAAAGAACTGGTTAAATGAAGTACCTTTGCATATATTGGAAAGCCAGTTAAACAAAGTAAATAACTGTAAATTACACACTCATAATCAATCCAGACTTCTCAACAAAAACAATAAATAGTCTCAGCTGCCTCTAAAAGAAAGTGTGAATGAATGTAAATGGTTCAGACAGGTGGTTGACCTTGAAACTTCAGTAGTACTTACCTCGGAAATGTTTTTGTCAGTCTCTTTTCTTTTTTCCTCTAACTTCCTTTCGATCCCTACAATTCCTACAGCCCTTATTCTTCCTGCCTGCAAAAGAAAATAATGAAAGGAATCAAAATAGGAAATGCTAAGTTTTCTCATCTGCCTCACTGGGAAAAACCTTCCACTGGAAGACAGGAAATGTTCTCCCGAAAAGCTGATATAATGCATACAATATTTCATATATTTCTTGAAAGTATTTTTTAAAGCAGTGTCAAAAAATAAACAATAAGTGTAAAGCATGTATGAATTTGCTGTAGTAGACAGATAATATTATTAGATTGAAGCTATTAATATGAAGATGCTTAATAGCCTGATCCAGACTGAGCATTCCAGCCCATCTCAGTTAAAGCCTCACAAGTCCACGTGAACATCTGTACTAGAGCTGTGGAAATCCGTGAGTGTATCTGATTACCTCAAAAAATCTAGCCTGAAGAAACATACCCATGAACACACAGTGCTACATACAGTTTAATTTACCTTGCTGAGAAGTATCAGGACAGAGGCGATGGTGAATCTTTTTGTTTGATGCAAACTGTGTTCTAGAAAGGCTGGTACCTACGTGCCAGTGGTGCCAGCCCTCAAATCTCTAACCGCAGAGCTTAGCACTGGTGTTAATGATTTGTTATGACTTAAGAATAAGAACAGAAGTAAGACATTTTCATTAAGTGATTCTTGACGCAGCGTACAGGCTTCCTCATTAGTCCACCAAATGCAAATACATTTATGGATAGTACATTTACAAAGGAGCACATATATGATTTGACATCGAGCAAAGTTTAAATCATCCTATTTAATTCATAGTACTATATGTTCAATACATTAATATATTCAACATATTCATATACAGAAACAAAGGTATATGCAAATATATGTATATTTGCATATTTATAGCTGTGTGTGTATCTGTGTCTGACTCCATTAAAAAAAATGAGCTTATTATCAACTGTTTACATCTAAACACACTCAAGGAAGACAGGGCACAGTGTTGACTCTATCAGGTGAAAACTGCAAAGGAGAAACTAACTTATGCCAGTGAAGAAACAGGCAAAGCTGAATTTCTACATGTGCCCACAGCATTGGTTATACAGGCGTGCCAGATGCAGAATATGGGGGCAGCAAGAACTTAAACAAGAGATTACATACAGATTCTGCACTTAAGCTAGACAAAGTGACATGACATACAGAAGGATGTCAGAAGCTCTGCACATACTTGTGGATCCTTATTAACTTGAATAGTCTGACCAGTAGGCATGTTCTCCCATCTCCTTTGTGTGATTTCTTCTGATAATCGTCTATAGAACTGCAAACATTAAAGAGTGACAACAGATGTTTCACAAACTGTGCAGAGTACCTCTGGATATTTTTAGCATCTTGGTGGTAGATGAAATAAACTTCACTACAAACAAAGCATGGTTAATACCTCCAACATCCATTATCTGGAAATTCTTAATGTCCAGTCTTCAGAAATATACACATTAGAGGAGGAGACATGTAGTTACTAGTTAAACTTGCATGAGTACTTCTATTGCAAAATGGTTTTTTTAGATATTCAAAATGTTGCAAAAGATGCTAAAATAAAAAATGTCAAGGTTTGCTCAAAGGCATGCTTTTAAAAGGAAGGAAAGTTGATCAATCCAATTACTATTGAACTGTTAATTCATCAGTATAAAGACAATCACATAGATCAATTACACTTATTAGTTTATTGCTAATACCCGGAAGTGGCATTAGTTATCAGCAAGTGTATCCCACTGAACAAAATCCATGAAGAAAATCTGTTCTATTCTTATGGTTGTTAGAAGTTCACAGGAAAGAATGCTGAAGTCATAAAGAAAAGATCTGTAGCGTAACTGATATGCTAAGTAACCAGCAAACATAGAAAGCTTCATTCTCAGACAAGAACATTAATGTTAAAATAAATAAGGTTATGATTAGGCAAATCACCTACACAATTATAACTAGCATAAATCCACACTCATCCTAAGCTGAAAACTGCTCCCAAGGAAATGAAAGTCAGTCAGAACAAGCATATGCATTTATAAGACATTTATACATAATCCAAGTTGAAAATCTGATTTTCTGCAGTGAACAGGGATGGCTTTTTTAATTTTTCAAAGTTAAAGTTCTCAGTCTCTTCAAGTGAGGATCTTATACTGTGAAATTTCTTTATAGAGTACAATTTGCTTGGTTTTTGGGATATGCCTTCTTGTAAAAATACATTAATTTTTTTTAGAATGCTCAAAGCCTTTGAGAGTTGGTGTAGGTAAAAAAAAAGATCTATAAAACATAAAATGAAACAAAGCTCTGAAGCAACAAAAAGTGTTCAGTGATAAAATTAGAGAGATGATTAGGAATAAGTTGCTTGAATCCTGTCCAGCACAGGGTTAGCTTCAAAGAAACATCTTTTACTCTATTAACGACCTAACAGATTTCAGAGACAGCATTTTGGAAAATCCTGTGCTCAATTTAAAAGATTACAAAAGGAAGTATAAGATTATATTAAAACACTAAAATAAGGACAAAGCCTAATAATGCATCCTGACATTTTTGGAACACTATTTGCATTATTTAACCAAAGTATAGAACCCCAAAGGCTCATAGTGTTTGTCTTCAAAAAAGGATGTACTGAAAAAGCTCCACCTCAAAAGTAAACATGGAAAGATCATAGAAAATTATCACTAACACAGCAAGAGGAGAAAGGCATGTCCAAAGATCAGATATGCTGGGCTTGCATGGTACAAAACTTACCTCAATCTGACCATGTTCTTTGAAAGAAAGTTTGATGTAGGAGTATTTGCTGCTTTGGAATGGACCAGGCTCTTTGTTTGAAGCAGCAGGATGAAGATGAACTACTATTTTGGCGCTAAGAAAAAGTTAAAGAAAAGACAAGTGGTAGCTTTCTGTAATACCCCAAAAATTTTTTTCTACAATCAAGTTAACCATTTAATCAAAACCTGTATTAACTTTATCTCACATGAGAAATAAAGTATATCAAATAACGCTTTATATTTGTGCATCAACATCTAAGTATTTTGACTCAACATTATAGTAGATCTTGCAGGAAAACTACTACAACCTCTAAAACAGCAACATCTCACAAATTTAAAATGCACCCACCATCAATTCTTAAGAAATAAACATTAAAAATGTTACCACTTCAAGCAATAATTTCTGAAAAATCTGTTAATTGAAGTAAAAAATAATAGTTAAGTAGTCACTTGATTTGGCTTTTGACTTGCAATAACTACTGCCAAAACACACTATCTTTGTCATAGGGAAACAAAAGATCTCAATATTATGTTTAATCTATCCTAGTTGTATGTCATTTGTGAACACTGTACGTGAATTTGTCCAAAACCAACATTCAGAGGTAACATGCATGGAAATAACAGTCTAAAATGACACCTATCACCAAAACAAACCTTGAGATAGCCATTCCCATTTGATTTTATTGACACTTTTTTCATGAGTTTTTATTTACTTGACTTCTCCAGCATTAGTGAACTAATTGATTTATTCTGGATGTCCCCAGCATATTACCTTACCCAGGTAAGATAATACCCTGGCTGCAGGCTGCAAACCGATGACAACTATATACATACAAACATATTTCCCCAGTTAATTTTTTTTCTCTTCTTCTTGTGAAACTTCCTTATTCACATAATATACAGAATTAGTTATTCAAGTGAGTGGAAACACTCAAGTTCTTCTAACCACTGGCATCATTTCCATGCTCAAAATCCATCATATGGTCATATGAAGTTATAATATGGGCAGAGTTTCTATCCACAACCAGTTCTGTGGCACAAAAGACTAAAATTAGCTCTCAAATTTAGATCCAGCAAAATCACTGTTGTCATTTATGACTAATCAAACTAAAATGGCAAGCTGGAGCACATACTTGTTTAGTGATTACAAAACAGTTACTTAACAAATCACATCAAACACCGCCTTGTCATGAGTCTTACACATTTGAACTCAAGTGACGAAAACAGGTCCTTGTGGCTGCCAAACTGGAACTTAGATTGCAAATGGAACCTACCATGAATTAATATATAATCTTGGGTACCTCACAGAACATGCATGTGCAAACTATTCTTCTGAAAAAGACAATGACTATCACTTTACCTTTTTCCTATCCCAGCTGCTTGCTCTTCAATGAAGACAATCTGAGACAGGGGTATAGCAATGCAGCACTCCTGGAATAACCAACGCAAACACAAGTGAAATTAAAGCCACATCCTGACCATTCTCTAAACCCAAATGCTCTCTTTCCCCATTTCACAAACACTACAGATCTCTACAGGTGCTGCCTGAGGCACTCCATGTGAAATATGATGGTAACAATAATCTATTAAAGAAAAAAAGAAGTAGAAAACTTAATACAAAGTTGAAACTGAGTTCTAGGTAACAAAAAAAACCCCAAACTTAAGTATCAGTGTGCCAACTTCACAGACACCTCAAGCTAGATTCACAGAAACACCTGGGAACTTAACAAATCTTTAGTATCTAAATTCAAAATTTAAACACTAAAATTTCCCCACTACTACAGCTTACCCCTGTAGGTGCACAATGCTCATAGGTTCTTAACATTTTTGCATTGATGTTACTTTGGGAGCTAAAACAATATCCAAAAGCACCAGTCTTTTAAGTGTTGAACATCTAAAAAACTAGACTATCCTCTGAGTGGAATAGGAATTTTTCCATCTATCCTACACTCAAGGACTTAGTCCAGCAGTTGATGCATCTCAACATACATTTATTGGACTGTGCTTTAGATAAAACAAAGCAGAGCAAGAAACAAGGCTGTATCCATCTGTGGGAGACTCACCCACCCAGGTTAAACTCTTTCTATATGCATTTGAGACAGAAATTGCTCAACAGAGCGATTCAAAGCATTTAATTGGGTGCCTGGTATTGTTTTGGTGAATATCGTTTGGTGAACGTTCTCTTCCACATAATAGCTTGGTGATTGACACAGTCATCCAGAATACAGGAAACACACGTTACATTCCATACTTAAACTCCTTTCTTCCTTCTGCCATAAGGGTGCGCCTAACACCAGGTTACAACGAGCACTGTTATGGGGCCCACTCAGTCCCTACTACCAAAATTGTTCCTCTTTGCACAGAATAATTAAATACTCATTAAATTGGAGATTAGGGAAGTATACACACTGAAACTCCAACTAATGAGTAAATATCTCATTTGAAAAAACATGGCTGTACTTCCTGTTCTAAAAACTCTTAATACAAGCTATCTAGATTCTTCTATGGCTTCAGATTCCAAAGCTGTTACATAGAACAGTTACTGTTTGTAAAATGCCAACACAGCTCTGGACATTTTAAATATAGTCAAAATGATACTTCTGCTTAAAAAATTTTTTGAAAATTACTAAAGAGTTCAACTACATATACTATGTACAGTGTCAAAATTATTGATTCATTTAGTCACAGATAGAAAGTTATGAAGTTATTGTAAGCACAAGGACTTAGAATCACCCCTTCCCATGAGAAAAATAAGAGGAAGGAATAGAAAAAGAGAGATGTGTTAAAAATGCCGAGTTTATTTGGATATTTTCTTCTAATGTCTCATGCCCACATTATGCATGAATATATGTTTTAAAATGTTGTACAAATCTAGCTATGTACATATAAAAGAACTGGGTATTTTTTTCCTTTTAAAATCACAGTAGTTTCTACACTCTTCAGTGGCAGATGCTGTGTAAACAGCAGCTATAAAACAGCTGTCTGCTTTTGTAAAAAGGGTTGTTATGTTAACCTAATGACAAGTGTCCCATTTATTACTAAAGTTTGCTGACACAATAAAAGGTGACTCTCTCTACAAGTTTATTTTAGGTAAGCTAGCTAAGGTTTCTAAGGTTGATGTTATATCCAGCAGAGCTCAGCCAACAACTCACCGTGAAAATAAAAGGGCACTGTGCTCCCCATGCTTCAGTCCTAACAGCCTGAGAAAGAATCTGCTTCCTTTACCACACTAACAAAGTTATTTGTGTACCAGAGATTTAAAATTTAAAAACCTGCTTCCACTGGGATAGAATTGGTCTGTAGTAGATCAGAACTGGGTAATTTTTGTCCATCTCCTGGCCATATGTTTCTGCTCCTTCTCTTAATCAAGCCTAGAGTTTGTCAGAATCTTTGCCAAGTTAAATTGATTTGTTAAAAGAAAACTATTTTTCTTATTCTCCAAGTCTCTTCTCTGCTCATTTAGCAAATTCAATGATCTTGATACAAGGAATCATATAGCATAGGAGCAGGGGGAGAAGTCAGGGAGAAGGGATGAGTATCATCCTTTTGTTGGGAAGGAGAGAATGGGGACATGGACAATTGTTAAGACTTGCTGAAGCCATAACACTTAATGCTACTCCAAGCAAGTAAACTGTCCAAGTGAGAACATCAGAAGCAGTGCACATCACAGTACACGCCCACTTGTCAAGCAGAGACGCTGATTTAGAAATAAGGTGATTTACACAGACAGTTTTGCACAACTAAATTCTCTCACGCTGACTGTGCCAAAAAACCAGTTAATTTATACAGAATAGCTCATGAGTTGGACAATCAACCCCTGCCTTCTTTTAACAATAATGCTTCCCTGGGGACCAGCTCTCAAAACACTTGAAAAATTTGTACTAAAAATAGTTCTGCTGTTCCTGCAAACAATCCCTAAGGAAAAAAATATATTGCTTTGCCAAATCAAGAACATCCTTGGTGACCTTGCCTTTAGAAGGCTCTTAATAGCTCCCTCTTTTGGAACAAGGATGTGATATTTAGTAGGGAATGGCCTTCCAATGCTTCAACTATCCGTGTGCAAAACTAGTCCAGTGGAATACAATAGGCCTTTGAAAAGTCATCTGCTCGTGCTTTGTCTAAACTTTGGCTTCTAGGGCTAAATTGCTAAAAGATTGCATCCAAAACAAGCACAATCCAACCTGGTTCTCAAGTGGACTTCTTCAATTACAGCTGCAGTGGTGCACACTGTCACAGTCCATGCTTAGAGCTTTGCATGTGTTTGTGGTCTTTCTTACCCATTTCTAGACTGCAATCTCAGGCTGTGGCTTGACAATACATACAAAGAATTCAGCAGCAGTATGGCACTGTAGTTCTGCCACTGCCACTTAACCTCTGAGTTAATTCTCCACAGAAGTACAGATGAATGTTCTGGCTTAGGGAAAGGATGGTTCAGTGCAGGAACAGGCAGCTGGGAGACAAAGATCCATACAAAAAAAATAATACCGCCACCAAACACATCCTATCGGCAAATCATGGTCTGGGACTATATGGCATGAGCAGAAGACAGTGCAACTTGGACTTGAAAACACAATGAGGAAGAACAGGTCTTGCTAGACAAGGAGCATGGGAAAGGAGTTCACATTATGATTTGCCTGACACATTCAACTTCAGTCTCAAAAACAACAACTTTTACTGCATGATACCAGTGTCTTTTCTCCTCTATTTTTGTGCCATAGAAAAGGAAAAATTATATGATTCATTCACATCCCTCCTCATTTCTGCATGATCATTTTCTTAAAGCAGAATTGGGTGAGAGAACATTCCTTGTATGTAATCTTCTTTCCCCTGTAAGCAAAAAAATGGACTAAACTTTTGTAATACAAAACACACACAAAGCAAAGAAAAAAATCTCTGTTCATGGCGAGCTACCTGTTGTTTACTATGGAATTTACAGTTAAATGACATACAAGATACAAAAGCGGGACTTACATGATTCTTCTGATCCCTCCAGATTAGTCGGTGTGTGCTAAGCAGTAATACTCCTCTATCAAAGTTCAACTAAAGAGGAAAAATAAAACAGATCAACAACAAATTTAACCAGTGAGTTGCATAAATACTGATCTTGGAAACATTACACATTACCACAGCATGGCAATCAGATGCAACAAGCCAATATTTTGAGAACACCCTTTTTTCAGAAAACACAATAAATTAAGTTTAGGAAACAACGGAGAAAATCAGTATAAAAGGATTAGATGGATATACACAAACTTCCTTTTTCAACTGTATAAACTTTCCCCCCGGAAATCCTGAAGGATCCTCCCTCCATATGCTGTGCAAGATATACAAACATTACTAAATATCATATTTTAAACAGGGCTCTTGGCTTTGGAACACTATTCGCTGACAAAGAAAGTAAAGGTTACACAAAAAAGCAAAGCAACCTAATAAGAAGATGCTGTCCAGTCTGAAATCTTCTGGCCTATCACATAGGAGTATTGCTTCTATCCATTTCATTGTTGAAAAGTTATTTATTTATCACATAGCCATCAGTCTCTGGAAAAATGTGTGTTAGCAAATCGCTTCCTACTTCTAAGACTTGAGGCACGTTTTTACAGCTTTTTATGAGGGCATGCACCTTACTCTGGTGAGGAAAAATGAGGAGAGACCTAGAGTTACTCCAGCCATGAGGCAAACCGATAATTGAGTAGGCTTAGATGAGAGCAGAGGGCAAAAGAGAACCCTTCACGACCAGAGTTAAAAAGCATTTTACAGCTACCAGGATGACTCAGGAGTGACTTGCATGGCGTGGCCAGCACACGACATCAAAGCCAAAGAGCACAGCTTGCAGTGCCGAGCAACCCGGGGACCGCTTACCCCTGACAGAGGCAGTGCCAGCCCAAACAGCGGACATCAAGTGTCATGACAGTGACACCAGCTGCACACGCCCTGTGGGGACGCTAGTCCTCCCTCCCTGTGGCACACACCGTCCAAGGCCCTTCCCGTCGCCACAGAGCCTGGATCTCTCCTCCCTTATGTTCTGCTCACAGAGCCAAACCCTGCCAGACCCCGGAGGAAA